TATCGTCGTTGCTATCGCTGGTGGGTGCATAACATGGGATGATATTCATTATAATCCCCTCCTTCTTTGTTTTGAATGATGCTTTGATGATTCTGGATCCGTGAGATTCCCATCCTACAAGTGCATTTCGTGCTACTTTGGACAGCATTAGAGCAACTCCCTGAGTGTATGGAGCATTTTCCTCTTCGTGACCGGAGTATAGCAGCATCTCTCCCGTATTGAGCCTTTGTCGTCCAGCTTGGGTTCAATGGGTTTCGCTGATTCCCAGTACTGCCAAGTTGTATCTTCTCATTTCCGTTTCTATTTGATTGGTCTTTCCGGTCTCCCACATTGTCCGTACGTTCCATGTACCTATAAAAATTGTTGCTCTAGTTGTTGGAAGGGGAATCAGCCTCATGGCTTCCGAAGGAACTCGGCTTTCACCATGAGGCGTCACAGTTCTTCTAAATGAGGACCTTCTAACTCCCAGGACAGAGTTAAAATGGTTTGAATTATTTTTTCTGGTTAGTGTTGTTTTAGCGAGTTAGTTTTCTATGGGATGGGGTCGCTAACCCCATGCCAAACCCTTCTCCTTTATGCGGGCTTGGGACCGGCAGTAACTCTAGAAAAGCTACAGGCGGAGTTTCGATAACACATGTTACAGTAAAATGATACGAAATTTTGTCATTATTATGGCTGTGTGTTGACAACTATAAACAAATTGGTTTAGAAGCAATGAAAGATTTCAAACGGAGGAGTTTGCAAGGTCTCAGGAAAATCAATAAAAGTCTGATATTCATATCACCTAGAATAAACTTTACGTGGTAATGTAGACTTTATCTGTCAGTTAGTAAAAACTAGACACTTAATAGAAGGTTCAGAGATTAACTTATTAGAAAAAAGTATTGCAAATACACGCGTACACAGTATCGACAACATTACAGAAGACGATGGTTTACATTTGAGGATATAAGGACAAATTGAACATTGGGTAAGTTTAGTTATTTATTCTCTGAAGAAGTGGCTTCTGTTGAGTCACGAAACGTCAGAGAATCTAATTTTCCTACTCATTGGGATGTTACAAATATATTATTTATTTAAAATAAAATAACTCCTGTGTTTTGAATTCATTCACTTCACAATACAATACAACCATAATTCGTTATTATTGGTATTTATCTATTTGAATTCTCCCACTTGGTTAACATCATGATCAGCACTCTTAAACTAAAATCTAATAAACTCCTTGTCAGATCATACTATTAATAAGTAGTTGCTTATAATTTATTTAGATGATGTAGATGAATCTGATATAAATAGCACAATGATTACTGAAAACCAGGAAGTAATAAATGGCTGTTCAGTTCTAGTTTTTTCATTTTTATTAGATTTTCAACCAGTATAAAATGATTCATATATATTTAACTTATTAGATCAATATATTCTATTAATATTCAGCGTGTGTAGTTTCAAATACTTTACTTTTGACTAGTGATTAACAGTATAACTCTCAATCAGTTGGTCATGAGTTTATTAATTCTAGCCTTAACTAATATATATTATTTTAATATTTAATTCGGTATATATGGCAAACAATTTTGTGACTATTGTGTTGAGTTCAAATTTTCGCTTAATTAACTAGATGTCACAATTAAGACAGTAACGGGTTTGAAATCACATATGTTCAACTCCCATTTTCGATTATCCGACTGTTTTAACCTCATCCCTGTGTTATTACTAATTGTTGTTGATCCCTTTCATTATTAAATGTAAGTGCATCCTATGTGTCTACTGAGTCGTAGGTTCAACTTTTCTGCTGTTCTTTTATCTTTCAAACTCTCATACACTCTGCTCATCACACATTATCTGTTCATCACTTACCTTCAAATTAGACTGAAGCCTACGATAGGCTAAAATAAAACAGCAATCTATACCAATTAATAAAATTATTTTTAAATCCATCAGAGTATAAGTCAGTCACAAATGATATTTTTTAAAAACTACCTTGGATTTCTGGTCATATGTGTATTCATGTTTTCAGTTAAAGTTATTAACAAATTTCCCAATCATCATGATGTGGTATACAGAGATTTGTTTAAAAGTAATTGTTGGAAACTTCTGTGAATTTTTCAAAAATATGGAATAAACATTAACCTATTCAATGTTCATCTTTTCATTGTGAAACGTTTTACTAAGTTTTAATTATTTGAATTTTTTTTAGTGATTCTTGTTTTCACGTGGAAACTATACCATTTTACAATTTCATATTGTATTTTAGTATTAAAATCTTATCTACAGAATGTTAGAACAGAAATATTATCTAATATTTCATCACATTACCGGAATAGCACATAAGTAAATGAATAAATGAAAAAGAAATAAATTTTACTCTTGATAAATTGATTATTCATGTTTAATTGTTATTTCTAAAACATCAAATATCATGTTATTCAAATAAATCCAATGTAACTGAATAAGTAAAAATGTAATGAAGGATCTTAATTGTGCTTAATTTTTGAGTATGTAAATGATTAAATGTGACTTCTAAACATATTCATTTGAATTTCGATACAATGTATAATTGTGCAAAATTTTACATGATCATACAGATACATTAAAACAAATAACCTTATAAGTTCAATTTCAGCGTTTATTACTTTTTTCTTAGAAATTATTCTAGTACAATAAAGATAATTTTTAATAACGAATTGATATTTTCTTGGAAGTTACTGAAACAAGTGGAATTTCACAAATATTTCATTGTTATTTACAGTTGTGGAGACAACTGGCGGTGAACTCAAGGAAGCTCTAAGAAGCACAGAAAGAGCCGAAGACATTCCATCTAACCATCCTTTGGAAGAATATTCCAGAATCTCGACGTGTAGCTTCCTGACTGGACAAATGCCAAAAGCCACTGAATACGGATTGGATGACTGTAACGATGACTTCGTTTTTACTAAAAACTATGAATACTTGAGTGTTTTGTACCATATTTGACACTGTTTGGAATAAGATTCTTTCCTCCTCTTCTGTCTTCGAACTTGCGACTTGGAGGGTTCTAGTGTTCGAGTGCTCAAAAATCCAAGTCCTAGATATAACAACAACTAAGTGATAATGTTCATTTACCACCTTATATAAAAATAAATTAGCTCTTGAGATAAGTAGGATATTATACCGCAACTCATTCAACCTCATTTTCCAAATTAAATGCAATGGGACAATTACTTGATGTCAATGAAGGTATCTGCTCTAATCACAACGTAGTTGACCACATTAATAACAACATTTCAATAAAAATTGTTTAAGCGTATCTGGATAGAAATCATCAAAAAAACACAAAAATATTACTGAACCTAGAATTTATGGAATAAATTAAGATGATGCATATTTACATTATTATTCTATGTTAATTCACAGTAAAATTTATTATCAATTTCGCACTGGTTGTTTGGATCTACCGATTAATGTTTTGAGCTGCAATTGACCAGTCTCTTATTGGCATATGCGTATGCTTGACAGATTTTATTTTGCTGATCCATAAACAAATATATGAAATGAATATAAATAGTGTTACAATTAAATGAATGTATCTGTAGATATACTGAAGAGATTAAAAGATTTATTCCACTTACCTAAATATCTATTGTTATCCGGTAGAATGAAATTTCAGCGGCATCAGAATAAGATATGTGGTAAACTTTTTGAGGCTGTTAGCTGCTAATCAATTTTTTGCAAGGAAACATAAACTTGATGTTAGGTGTTAGCCCAAAAATAATACAACTGGAAGACTTTTAGTCTTAAAAACCAATTAGATTGGCCAAAAAATATTCCCTTAATTGATTAAATTTTCTTGTACCATTTAGAGATATTACGATTTGAACAAAATGTTAGCTTAAATTGGTATGAACTTATTTATTCATGTCTTTAGGTTCGATTATTTCGAAAACATGACATAATCTACATGATAAACCAAAATTAACTCATTATTTTATTAATCAAAGAAGCTTGGACCTTATTTCAAAGCAGCATTTATTTTATAAACGAAAGTTGTGTAGTCAATCTTTTCAAATCAAAATTGTCGTTATTCGGTGACGGTACTTATATCACTGAGAGTTGAAATATGAAATTGAAATAGTAATAGAAATTTCAAATTATCATTTGAAACTTTTCAACATAGTTTTTAAAAAATTCTTTAAATATTTTATTTTTGTATTATTCATAGTCGAATTGGAGTATTAACGATCTGTTCATAGCGGTACTACGAAAAAAAACTCATCAATAAAATGTAGCTACTCATGAGTAGCTAAACTAAGAGAGACAATGAATGCTGCTTGTCGTTACTGAGTTAAGAGTATGGTATCCATAGAAGTTCTAATCTCTAGATTATTCACCTGATCTTCGTTTATTAATTACTTACATCCAAATAAAATACGCGATAATTCCATGTTCTCTGTAACAAACAAATAGAAAGTCGGATGGTTAATAATAGAAACTTAGTCAAGGTAATGTATCACTTGCTGATATTACTATTCCTGTGAAAAGATTTAAATTTAGGGATGAATAAAGTTTTCATGCTTTCAATTAGCTAATATATTTTTATGAATAGATTCATTCTCCCTCTAGTCTGTACTTGAAATTGTAGACATAGTGTGACGTAAACATTATATCTTTAATATCAAACGGAATTAGCGATGTCTAATACTGAGTTGTTCGGTATTAAACATAGGATGCTTTTTAAATCTCTCTGGTCATTGGTATTTTTCCGACCACCGATAAAGGAAACTGTTAATATATTGTCTAGAATACTGGTTTAATGTATAGACATGAATAGAATAGTTTACCCGTCTATATTGTATTGTTTTCTTCACAATATAAGTAGTATATCAAATGAGTAGTGAGTAGTATGTGGAACTGTGTACCCTAAAGCTATCGGAAAGCAAACATTACTTTCGGTTATCTTGTACTGTGAACAAGAAAACCGAATAGTCTTATTACTGGATGCATGAATGAAGTTAAACGAAAACAATATTAGGAGCATGAAACAAATAATATTCATTGAGATTTATAATCTAACATGAAAGAATACTAAAGACAATAAACTATCTTGCGTAATATACTTCAGAGCTTCATCTAACCGCATAATATGAGTGTAAGGTACGAATGAGCCGTATACAATTGATGACAGGGCAAGGTCGTTTATGCCTATGAGAATGAATCCTATATAGTCCACCACCTTAAAAAGACGTAAGTTCAGTTTAGCGACAAAAATTAATCAGTACGACAATGATAGAAATCAAGTTATTTTTCCTAATCGGCCTCCATACACACATTTTTTCACTAAATAAGTCATAAGAGCTTTTGTTTTGAATAAAATCTCATCAACACCTTAAAAATATTAAAATCGAATATGATAATCAAGCAGATCAGAATTTTTACTTCAAAACGATATCCATTTTGATACCCTTTCAAAAATGAATCATACCTTAATATTTTGGATCTGAAAATATCATTGAGGTTACTTGGCTTGCATCTAAAACAACAATCATTCATCTACGTAGAATTTCCTCAGAAAAAACCGAAGTTCCAGTTGATGTTAAGTTTAGAACGGGTTGTTAATTCATAAAACGATGCTTGCCTGAGAATTGGGCACAATTAACGCACCTAAATTCAAAAACAAACGTACACACCGACCCCTCTAAAAAGCTCAATAGACTTAGTGACAGACGCACATATACGAACGCACGACACACATACATCCGCACACGCACGTGCATACGCACAGCTCTCACACAGACGCGGATTAGGGATCAACTGTTCGTTCGCGCACTGGATTATCAACTTCTGAATCTGGCATCCCTCTGAATTCCACGGTTTATTCGAATCCTTCGCGGAGTACTTGTAAATAGCTGTCATTTACACGACTGACGGAATCCCAATGGCATCCAATAATATGTACAGAGTCGGGGGTAAGTCCAGTTGACATATACGATAATTGTTCAAGATGGCCGACTACTATAAAGATTTTGAAAGTTTAGATAACGTTCTGACTAAGTTTACAGTTCTTGAGCAACGACTTGGAACGCACGTTGTGTTGTCATTGTACACAAATCCATGTATTTAAACCAACGAATCAGGTTGTATGGCGTCTTGTCTTTACCACGGCTAAGTACCTCTATATGAGCCTCCAAAAATATCCCTCCGCTGAACTTGTACAGCTCGAACGTTTCTCCCCTGACTACGCTTTTTTACTTCTACTGGTGTATTTTAAGCAGCTTACATCTAGAATGGTATATTTAAAGGCTTTTTCAGCCACGTCAGCAGTTGTACATTGTGGAGGCTCATGTAGCGAAAAAATATGCAGTACATTACTGATTACATGAAATACTCTTAAAAAACAACATATCTAGCCTGTCCTAATGAAATAGCTCGGCAGTTTCTATAAATTGACCTCAAAACGATCAAATAAAGCACACTGTACTACTGAAGCAACGTTTAATAATATAGCAGACGAAGGAAACAATTCATTCATTAAATAGTGGTAAATACTTCGTACATTTTTTTCCAGCTTTTGAACTTCCATATGCCTTATATGTTTTCAGTTAAGCGTGTTTTTTCTCGAAATCTAACTGACCAAGTTGACTGATCTGTTTGATACAAATATCACATCAAGATCTCTAAAAATGAAAGGCAACGTGGCATAACACCGCTTTATTTCTGATGTTCATGTGGATACGGTTATATATCTTCATTGACAATAATTATGTCACACATCGGTTAGTCAGGATACTGAGATAGGCTTTGAGGACTCGTGTATCTTCATTATTTCCTACTTCTCGTCATATTTTTACGTCTTCAGTACAAAGTGGCTCAATAATGAGGTCAGCAAAAACTCGCTGTGTACCGTCTCCCAATATAAGGCTTTATAACTGATTCTTACTATGTACCCGGCTAACAAAGAATCCGTGATCCATTTTAGCCGATTGCTAGCTATTTCAAATGTATCTAATTTTGGTTAAAGCTTGGTGGATGGGACCTTATTTCAAGGCCTTTTCAAGATCATAGATTATACTAATGGGTTTCTCATTTTCTACAGACTTTGTCCAGATCTCTTACTATGAATATGCATTAAAAAAATACTGCAACTCCTTGCTGTCATTACATGCGGGATAAAATAAATTCACCCTCCAATAATGTAGGTGATTCCTTGGTACTTTTTATAGATCCCTAGATTGTTTGATTTCAACATGTACAGTGTGGGCTTCGAAATGCGCTTGTGAATTACACGTTGCTGCTTCATATTTATTTTAAACCAACTGAATACTGGGTTTTTCCGTATGCCTCTTAGATGGCAGTCAGTTGTTGATAATTTTATACAATGCTTTAGTGAGTCTAGGTATAGTTATCTTTTGATTCTTTGTGTGGAAACCTCAAAGAAGGAAAACTGCTGATACATTGGTTTATGTTGACCTTTGCAGTAAACATCTCTTTAAGGATTTAATTCCTGCTGGAAGGAATGCATTCGTCGTTGGTATATATACTATATATTTTGGGGGAATTTATGGTGATTAATCAGTTGGTGAGAGAACAGAACCTTTGATCTTCAAGCCATTTTTTATGCGTTCTGTAGTAACCAATCCTTGAGCAAACAAAATCACGGCAAACAATAGTTTCTGAACCATTACTTGTCTTTTAGATTTTCTAAAGAGGTCCGGCTTTTTCGCAGCATGGATTGGTTACTTAAATGTCAGTTGGATATGATATTTTAGCCATACCCTTGTAGTAGTAGTTCTAAGAAACAACCAGAGTACTCGAAACCCTTTTATAGAAACCACATTACGATACACTGCCGTTTTAAGCGTGCTTACAATGCACTCTTTAAAATTCACTTTCATGACTGTTCTGCGTCAATCATTAGTTCAACTTTCTATCGAGAGTAGAACAATGAGGACCGTTAGCCACGTCGCATATCTTGGAATTCTGATTAGCCGTGTTTGATGTCTGAAAAAATCTCGATACAAGTTTTGAGAGTCTCCCTGACTCCCGACAAATTGCGTCACATGGCTCAGGAAAGGGGTTCGTCTATCAACTGAAGGGCAAGTACACTGTTCATTACAGCCCTGTAATACTCTGTGTCTGTGATACGTGGTCTATGAAGGTAGGAGATATGTATAGCCTGCACGTCTTTGACCACAGGCAGGATTAATGTATCACTAACCGACCTTCTTAGCAATGTTAAGATTAATCATAAGGCAAAAGGTGAACACTTTTCGACTTCGATTATGCCGATGATATTGTATTACTGTACGATGATACCAAGTTATGCAATCCACATTTAATCAGTTGTCAGTCAACGTCCGTAGGTATGGCATGTGATTTGCACCTTCCAAGTGCGATGAGGTATGGCAACTTGAACCGATGCATATATGTGCCTGGTCCTACGTTGTAGCTGACTAACTGACTCCAAGTGCAAAGTACATGGTATCGTGGCCATGTCAAACATTGACCACCTCTTTGCTTTTCCCAACCGGTCCCACCACCGGCAAATAATGCGATGTGGAATTCACTAGGAAGGCATTCTTACTACATGTCCAAACCACTGAAGTCGATGTCTCAAAACAGTGACACCAAGTGAATCATCGTCACTGTGCTGAACACACGATCCCTAACCCCTGCGTTACTGATATGGAGTTGCCACTGAATATCAGCAACCCTTCGGCGACAACGATGATCAAGCACAAACAGTCGTCTAACATCTTCAACCTCGAATAGACCAGGTCTCACAAGTATGGAGAAAAACTGCTCTCACCAACGGGTTGTAGATCCGACCTTTTACAGCCAGACTAACATCACGAAGGCCCCAAAGATGACCCAGATTGGCATAAGCCTCTCTAGCTTTCAATATACGTGACTTGATCTAATTACTCACGCCACATTCAGCACTTATGCAAATACACAAACTTCTCGATTACTTCTATCTGCTCACAACCCATGGTAAGTGCAGAATCAGATTGTTAGTCCTGTAGAAGTACTTTGCACTTGGAAGGTGCAAATCACATGCCATACCTACGGACACTGACTGACAACTGATTAAATGTGGATGGCATAACTTGGTATCATCGCACAATATCACCGGCACAACCGAGGTTGAAATGTCTTTCTTCGGGTAGCAGACCCACACTATCATTACGTACATGCACCAAAGCTGTTTTCAGAACGACTGTTAACGGGGATCCACTCTAACAGTGCTTGTTCCGCCCTCATGCTTAGTGCCATGCCTACTCCTGCCAGTCCACGAGAGCTGACCGTCGGGTCACCAGATACACGGAACGTGTATCTCGTTGGCTCTCCATTTTGTCGAGGTGAGGTCAAGTGAATGACCACACTGGAATCCTGTATGCGTGTTTCGGAGACACAGCATACATCAATGGAAAGAGACTCTAGGGTTATAGCCAAGGAAGCCTGCTGACCGATTTGACATAGGGTGCATACGTTGAAGGTTCCAATGTGTAGTTTGGAGCGAGGTTTCAGTAGACCTGGGACAGAGTTTTGAGCACTAGAATCGTTGGCTATGGTGACATTTTAGGAGGAAGCCGAAAAAGGAAGTTTAGAGGTGAAAGTCGATGTAGGAGGAATAATAGAAAGTGAAGACGGAGGTTGATTATGAATACAATGGTCTTCAGTGCTGTTAGAGGTATGAGGGCGGTTATCACTTCCCGGTTGCCCACATCGTGGAAGGGTTCTTCTGGAGGTACCTGAAAAGGAAATTGGATTAGAGGTGGTCTTAGTGACTTGGGAGCGTCACCGCAGTGCCCAAGGGACAACTGCTTGAGGTCGGTCACACACGACCTTTTTATGGGTAATTTTTGTGTTAGCTCCGTACTTGTTGAGACCTTACCGTTGGAGACGGATATCCGTGGGATAAGGCGAGGTGTGCATTTTCAGGGTCGAGCTTTTCTAACCCCACCCCTCCTTGTGGGAAGGCAGCATCGCTGTCATGCTGGTTGTCCGAGGGAAACACCTTACTGCTGTCACACCTCTGTACAGTCAGCCGTACGACTTCGCCTTCGGACCTTGGGTTTGTTGCTTTTAGTCTTACCGCTCATCAACCGACCTGTCTGACATGGTAGGACCTTGAGGAACAGTTGTTCCAGCCAGTATAGCTCGGTTGCTTCATCACGATAGGCAAGCCCGACCACCACGTCAAGGTAGCAACAACGGTCGGGCTGTTTTCAGAACGTCATCGATGTCAAAGTTGAAGAGTTATGGTGAGATCGGGCAACCTTGCCTAACACCATTGCGTGAATGGTACAGTGGAGAGAGGTGGTAATGTGTCTCCACTGTCTGAGGTGTTTATATATAGGACTTTCAATATGTGAATAAACTTCTCAGTCACACCCTTCTTCAGTAGATAATCTCAGAGAACAGTCCTGTCCAAAGAATCGAAAGCGACCCTAATATCAAGAAACACTACGATTGTTGTCCTTTAATAAGTATGACGGTGTTCTAACATTTGACGGAGGGTGAATATATGATCAGTGGATCCTGGACCAGAACGAAAACCAGCCTGCTCCTCGCGAGTCAATCTCTTTCTCTAATTTTGAACAATCTACGGAGTATGATAGAAGCCGATAGTTTGGACGCGATCGGAAGTAGACTTACCCCTCGATAGTTGTTGCGGAATCGAAGTGAACCGTTTTGAAGATAGGGGAATTTATAGACTCATTCCACGATGTCAGAACATTCTCTAATTGACAAACCTTTGCAAGTAACTCAGTCAGTTCCTTACTCAGAAAGTCTCCATCTTTAAAAAGGGTCAGAGGTAAGTCATCTGGGCCTGGTGATTTGTGACGCTTCAAGAGTTGGATTCCCTTGCGGACTTCTGCCTCGGGTAGATCAGTCGCCACGGGCCACAGAGGATGGGACAGTCTAATCGATATTGCCGGGGCAGCAGGCCAGTCGAACTGTT